TCCTGCCACCTCCTATTTGTTTTCAGGTTTGTTTTAAAGAACTCTGAACTTTTCTGAAAGCTGTGGAAGACATTCTGTGATGACAGAATCACAGTGCTTATCACTGTATTGAAAATAACCTTCTAAACTCTTTTTTTTCCCCCTTTGGTACCAAATCAGGGTCCCTTTGTTCAAGTGGATGAGCTCATGGAGATATTCAGAAGATGCAAACTGCCAGACAGTAAGTTACTTGTCTTCTCTGGAGGCTGTGCTAGTGCTGCATAAGACTTGGGTTTACATATGGATATTGCTGTCTAAAACCCAGACCTCATTTACAGATTCTAATTAGTGTTTAAGAGCAGAGGAGATTGGGCAGGAATCTGCATAGAGACGTTTGCACATTTACCTGGAGGGAGGTAACAAAAAGTCAAAAAACTTCAATTCACCAGCTGCCCTTTTAATATGTTGGTATCAATTGAAAGAAAGAAATGAAAATTTTGAAAATACCCTTTAAAGGCAGCATTTCCAGCAGCATTGCAGCTGTAAGATGAAAACACAAATTTGCAGCATGGTGAGGTCATTGGTGGAGATAACTCAGTGCTGCAGTGCCTGGGCACAAGCTGCAGGCAGGGCTTTCTGAGCTCCTGCAAAGAAGAGAAGCAGAGTTCTGGAACAGAGAAACAGCACAGATCCTACAGCAGATGATAATATGCTCCTCTTCACCCCCCCTTGTTAGTTTAAGGAAAAAAATGATCGTAAAGAAATGTAGGATTTAGTTTCTCGGAGTGAAACTAAAATATCTATTTAAATTACACAGGGTATTTTTGAGGCTTCCTCTGTTGAGAAGCAGAAACTGACTTGCTCTGCAGCCTTTCTGGTGAATCATGAACTAGTTACCCTGATTCCCAAAAGGCCTTCCTGTTTCACTGAAGCTCACAAATGACCTCGATTCCTGCGTAAAGGGCTCGAGCTGGAGCAGCAGCATTTCCTTTATAATTGGTGTTGACCACAGCTCAGCTTCAGACAGGCCTAGTATTTGTAGAACAGGACAGGAAAAGTGTCCTAAGTTGCAGAAGTGTCCCTGAGGTGTCTCTGGGTGTCCCTGCTGGGGTGCTGATGGCTGGGCAGGGCTCTGAGTTGCACACACTGAGTGGTTCTGTCTCTTCCCGAAGCTGTTGACGAAGCTGTACGGATAATCACGGGCGGCCTGCCTGAAATAGCTGTGGAAGGCAATGGACCTGTGGAAAACAACACCATTATCAACAAGGCTGTGAAGAGATCACATGAGGACTCTGATGACGATGAGGAGAAAGGATCTGTAGTTCCCCCTGTACATGACATTTACAGAGCACGACAGCAAAAGAGAATCCGGTGAAACAAGTTTGGAGTTCTGCTGTGACAGACAAAGACTTGCATTGAATCAGTCTCTTAAAAGTCAAGCATTTAAAAGGGACAGCTGCAAACAAAAAAAATCCTTGAAAATGGTTTTGTTACTGTGGTGCCTCTTCTCCCATATGGTTCTTGATCCGAAAACAGCCCGAACAACCTTAGAATGTGCTCTGAACAAAACTCGGTTTTCAAAACCAAAAGTGCAAAATGTCAAAACTGTATTTTGTTCTTCAAGGGTGTACACATCTACCACTTGAACTCTTGTGGGTTTTCAACAGTTTTATTTTAAAAACTGGATGGCTTATACTTGTGAAGCATTTTTAATTCAAATTTTTCTGGAAAACAGTTGTTCTCAGTTTGTTCATGTAGTGTCCTGCCTTATTGTTCGTTTTTATTTATGGCAGAATGTAAGGAATCTGTTTTGTAGTTGAAAATTGAAAAAAAAAAAAACAATAACAAAACACCATTCCTTTAAAATAAAAGGATATCCATAACATCATGCCTCATTCTGATTTTATTCAAACACAACAAGGTACTTCTTAAATATTACTCAGCCACTTCAAAAGCAATGCTAATTATACCGTCACAGGAAATTGATCAGAGCATACATATTGGAATGAACTTGGTTTCCATTTTCTAGAGGATGCAGCACACTTTGGCTTGTAATTCCAGGACTGTTTGAAGACAGCATCATGAGACTAACTCAGTTCAGTGTGGGTAGTCCAGGAGCACTGGCTCACACAGCCTGGTCCTGGATACCTGCACTGGTCTTCCACGAAATGTACAAAGCTAAATGTTAATAATCAGCTACATCATTGCACTTGTTATCTTCAAACAAGCTAAAAAAAAACACTATATGAGCTTTCCAAGCAGTTTCTATGCGTACTTCAGCTTTTAACTTGGAACTGGCTGTTTGGAATTGCACTCTGATAAGATCCCTTGGACTACAGGACAGTCAGAGCCTGGGGCAAATGAAAGCCATTCCCAGCCCAGCCCAGCTGCCTCAGGCAGGGCTCCTCTCTGCCAGGGCAGGGGGTGAAGCAGCACCTGCACACAGAGATGGGGCTGGCCTTCGCCATCCTGGAGCATCCTCCTTGCTTTGCCACTCAATTGCATCTCCCTGTTTCTTTTAGAGAGGATGTAGAGTGTTTTGTCAAACACTGGTTAAAAAGAACAACCTGGGAGAACCATTACCATGCTTTGTGGGTATTTATTACATTTCCTTTAGATCTTTCCTGTTGAAAGGCCCCCAGCACTTGTGCCAGGAACGTTTGTTCCTTCTGTGTGGGCCCTGGAGGTGAGAGGGGAGCCACAGGTGAGTACTGCACTCTGTTCCTTCATTCTAGGATATTTCTGCTACATGAAGGCTTAGGCTCAAAGCCCCCCTGAGAGGACAGGTGGGATTCCCTGTGTGGACCCTGCAAGCAATACAAGCACCATCCCTGCTGCCATGGCCTCATGGGCCCTGACTCCCAGCCCTGGGAGCAGCATCTCCTCAGCTGGAGCTTCAGCCACTGCTAAAGCAGTGCCCTGCACTCTGCCATCAGTCACACACCCTTCAAGGGCTTTTCTAGGTCTCACCACGATGTTCCTCCCCCCACCCTCGAGATCGTGCTGTACCTCACCTACCGCTGTGCAGGCAGCACCATTGCCTCCAAAGGCAGCTCCTGGCACTGCTGAGAGATAAAGTAACAGCAGCCATTTCTAACTTGTGCAGCTCTCAGTTAAGAAAACTGAACCCAGCTTTGCCTTGGTGATCTATCTCCTTGGCTCCAGCAGTGATGGCTCTGGTAGCTCGTTCAGCACAGGCTGAGGGAGTTTGTGCAGCTGCAGAGCTTTAGGCTGTGTGGTGAGACAGAACCTGTTCTAATAGCAAAGCCCAACAAGCCCTGAAGATCTCTTTTAGATTTTAGAATCCTTTGCTGATCCAAACAATGAAATAGAACCTATTCAGAACCCTTTTCTCAGGCTAACCAACCTCATTCTTGAGTTCTCAAAGAAGCATTCAAAGACAGACATTCATTTTGCTGGCTGAGTACATTTGGCCAAGAGAAAAATCACTTGTCTGAGCTGATGAACTTTCACAGGGTTTTGCTGAGTTTTCCCCTTGGGGAAGGGGTTTGTAATGATTGAGAAAAGATTTGGTTTAGAGTTGCATAGGCTAATATAGAAAAAAAGGTCTTATTTCTTCCATCCCCCTCCAAACACAAAGTTGGTGCATCTTTATCCCCACTGACATTTAAAGGAAACTGGAAAGGGAAGCATCAACAGTGGATCATAATCAAGTGCTTCTACAAGTTCTGTTACTTTGGCTGATTCCTAAATTAACCTGCCTGTTGGCAATACAAGGGCCCCTTTATTTAATTTATTTCACATACCTTTTTGCTTGTTTTTTTTTTTAAAGACACCACATTCTGGTTTGGACAACCTCATTCTTGGGCCACTTACTGTGTGTAACTACAAACTTTGCTTTCATAAAGCCATCAAATATTGATTACTGTAATACACTGTTGTACTCAACCAGAGGAAAATTTCACTTACCTCCCAGCTGAGCCTGAGAATGCAATGTAAAAGATCACTGGGCTCTTCTCCTCTATACAACAAGTAGCTCATTAAATTCAAGACCTACAAATATTCTAAGTTGCAAGAACACCTCTACAAAGTGAAAAAAATCTACTAAAATATTCCCTGTATATTCAAACTAACATCAAACCATTCACCTCTCACAGTACATTAAAATCACTTATAGTGCCCACAGTGCTCTGCACTTCCCAGATATTTTTGAAGACATGATTGAATATGCAACCATCTCCTGTTGTAGTTTTTTTTAAAAACCCCAAATTTTCCACCTAAAGTTTCACACACTTTAAATCCACTTTCTGCAAATGACAATTTACTTTAAAACTAGTGTTTCACCTAAAAAGGAGTAAATTACTAGCAACAAAAAGGTAAGAAATGCCACTTTTATCAAAACATTTTAGCTCTGCCCTTTCTGAAATCTTTACAAGATATAAATACAACTGCAATCTATAAGATTGCCACCTCTGGTAGTACTGTACATAGCAGAGGACAGTTACCCAATAACCAGAAAATTTGCTACAAAAATATATTATGTTTTGTAACATCTGCAGGTAAACAGCAAAAAAATGCTATTAAAAATGCAGTAAAATACAGAAAAAGCCAGTAAGCCTACCATACTCACCATAATGTTACAGTAAAGTGCTGCTTGGCTTGGCGTTTTGTCTGGTAAAGTTCTTCTTTTGAATTTTAGCTTTATTAATTCTTTAAAGTAAGATTTTTTAAAAAACCAAATCACCCTTTCTGGGAAGAACCATTGCTAATCAGCTGTGGATAAATTCAACTAAATTCACTGTAAATGAAGAGTTAAATGCCCTAAAAACGAGCCACTTAAATACAAAGTTTGGTTCTTAAACTTCCTCTATCTATCATCAGCTCAAAAATCTAAAAATTGCAGCCAGAAAACTCCCATGATATTCCCACCCCCCAGGTTGCATAATTATATTAGAAATGCATCTCTCATCTTTTACCTCAGGACCCGTTTTGCATCTCCTGTATTTCCCTCACCAGTCACCACTTGTGGGTTAAAAGGAACCAGTATTTACACGGAAAGCTGTTTTCCTAAACAAATATTGGTACAAGTTTTATTTAGTAGCTGACAATACTGTATTGGTAGCACAAGGACTGGTTTTATGATTCTTCTGACTTCCCTACAATTTGGGATTCTTCCTTAGTCAGTATTTTGCCAAGGACTGCATCGTAGTAAGGGCTGAAGACCATTTTGTTGTAGTTGACAAGACGAATGTACTTGGCAGCAATCTCCTCCAGCTCCCTCTGGATAGGGCCTAATCCTCCAGGAATGGCAGGCAATGATTTCTGGTGACTGGATGCAAGGTAATTCTCCAGAAACTTTTGAATTCGAGAATCTGGCGGGGAAAAAAAAAAAGGGTTCGGTTTGTTTTCAAAAGAGAAGGGTGAATTAGAAACAGCGTAACCTCATGTAAAATGCAACAAGCCTGAAGCTGGACAGACAACATGGAAACAAAATGGAAACGTGGAAACAACGTGGAAACAATGGAAAGAGGAGCCCTGCACACCCCCCAGCTCCAGTTCCACAGCCAGGGAGAGCAGAGCACTCTCCAGACTCACCGATGAGCTTGCAGATGGAGTTATCCGGGCTGGCCACTGCCTGGATCTGTCCCTTCAGCACAGCCTCTCTCTCAGCTGAGAATGGGGTAAAGCCATGCTGGCAAAGGCAGCTGCTCACTTCAGCACACACCTTCTCACCCACAGTGGCCAGGGATTCCTTCAGGTTAAAGGAGCTAGAAAACAGGAGATACAGCATAGCTGTATTAGTTACTCACTGTTTTCCCACTTTGAAAAAAGAAACCATTCAATTAGAATTAATTTATCAAATGTAGTGGAAAAAGCAAAACACAGATAAAGCCAACTATAAAGAGTAATACAATTATATATACATGAAAAATAAAGCTGGGATCTAAAGCAAGGAAGTAGGAGAACATTCAGTACTTCAAGCCTGAGCAATCCATACACGTAAGAGCTGACTTTCTGCCTGAGGACAGCTCTGACTAAAGCAAAACCCGTAGGTGTAATCACTAAATCTGCAGGCAGCTCACTGTGCCACACTCAGGTTTTTGGAGAGGCTGGCCCAAACTGAGCAGGGGCAGCTGCTGGCACTCTCCTGTGCCAGCCTGGCACCATGAAAAGCACTCTCTGGAAAAAGCAGCTTGTACAAATCATGGAAGAGCAGAGCAAGAAAAGACAGCTCTGTGTAAGCTGAAGAAGAACTGTCAGCCTGGGCTCATAGAAAGCCCTCATCACCTCCTCTGCATTTCCTGCAGTCCCCAGCCAGAAAGAGGCATAACCTGATCATTTCCCAGGGTGACAACAGAGCTCCAGCTGTCCTTGAGAGCAGCACTGTGCCATACTCACGGAAGATGCATTCCTGTCAGCAGCACCTTGACGATGGTTTTGATTTTCTCAGCGAATCCAGGCACATCGACGAGTGCTGGGCCTGCTGCACTGAAGGTGACCAGCAGCACTGTCCCCACCAGCAGCAGCTGCTCCAGCTCCAGCTGGATCTCCAGGAACCGTGTCTGGTCCATGAGCACCGTCTGCAAGGAGGGAGGGAGCCAGCACAGCATGGAGTCAGTTTGCAGGGCTGGGAAGGGACACCGGGATGCAGCAGCAAAGGCACAGGGAACAGCAGGCCAGCACCAGGAGCACAATGAAAAGCATTGACTCCTCTTTTCCAGCTAAGCAGGTTCCAGCACTGAAAGATAAGCACCTATTAGAGCTGCCAGATCTCCCAATCAGAGATCAATGGTTTAGTACTGTACATGTTGCAAGGCTGCAAATCAAAAGAGCTTCTGCTGTGTCCTGGGAATAGAGGAGTGGAACAAGCACAGACCAGTTTTTCTGTTTAATACCTACTTCTGGAAAAGGCCTGTTCACGTGATCCCACTTCAGGAGCTTCAGATAGGCCTGATTTTGTACAGCAGTGAAGCACAAGGTAGAAGCTCCACCAGTGGCACCATCGCTACAGTGGGGAGGCAATATTTCATGTCCCAGCTTTGCAAGATCATCTGCTGCTTCTTGCAACCACTTTGTGACAAGGTCTAAAGAATCTGGAAGAGCAGAGGAAAAAATCTTGTTAAGAAAATTCCTTTCCAAAGTTAGGTTTTTCCACCAATAATTTCCAAACAATCCCATTAGTTACTATGACTAATGCCCATGATATCAGGTATGACATGCATTTCATTTATTGCATCAAGCAGAACGTCTAAAACAAAACCACACAGCTACAGGAAATCAGAGGTGAGATGATGCTGGGTAATCATGCCCTATGCTGTATTGAAATTAAACTGAATGTACCAAGGGCAGAACTATTGTCCTGGCAGATTTTTTTTCTAACCATAGTTTTGGGGCACAAGCTGTCATTTACCATATGAATTCTAGAACTTATAAAAATATCTGAGCTCTTTTCATGATCTACAAGCAAAGACACGCAGTTTACTGGGAGGTCAGAGGGGAAGAAAGAAAGGAACAAAGTCATACTTGGCTGTTTCTCAAGAAACTCCTGAAACTTCTTTCTTTCATATTCAGCAGACTGCTGCATTAATTTTGGCCTAATACTACTGACAGCGAAGTTTGCCATATCCATTTTCATTAGGTCTAATACAGAGAAAATTGCTCTAAACAAACAAACAGAAAAAGTTATTCAAGGCTGCAGATGTTTCAGAGGTGCTGTTTACAAGATTTATTACAGATTGTCTAAGGAAAGAGCAAAAACATGCATGGGAAACAGTAACAGCTTAACAACTTCAGAGCATGAGACAGAGAAAGCTGGAGCAAGCATGTACATGCATGCATGTGTCTCTTCCAAGTGGGAAACAAATCTTGCTCTCCTGTAGAAAAACCTCCATGGAATTAACTTCACTAGCTCCATAGATTTTATCTCCCAGGATGTGCAATAGTGTATATGAAAAGACATCTGGGTTTCCAAGCTTGCATGCCATGGCTGCTGGCAGCCTGGAAAGCCAGCTTCGGTGGGAAGTGAATAATCAGACCCAAGAGGCAAAAAAAGGAAAAACAAGCAAACAAACAAACACCAAAGGAAAATATTTTAATTTCAAAGCAACCTAATTCCTGCTGGCAATATTTCTGCCAAGTCAATCTTGAACTCCTGGAAGCTTTTCAAATTAGAAAACAGCAAGGTTAATGAAGCTTCTCCCAGCTATTGAGCTGTGCCACTGAGAACACGGTGGCAAAGCAGAAGCCTGGATGCTCCCAGATGTGGAACACACACTCCCTTTGGAACTGACAGGGAATTACACAGGGAGTGGGGTAAAGAGAGCTCAAACTGGGAGGAAAGGACAAACTGGTTGGAAACCAATAATACTTTTCCCCTGAGCTCCCCCTTGTGCTTTTTTCACCTTCTGCTTTTGACATTCAATTCTGATACAAACTGACTATTCATCTGCTACTTTAAAGCTTATTTGCATTTGACATTTAAGCAAATGTCCTTCAGTGACATGCAGGAGCCAGACAAATACTCCAACTCACCAGGTCAGAAATGGACCTTGTTAATGACTCCTGGAGCATCTCTCCCCTTCACACCACAGCTGTACCCTTTTCCCCATCACTCTTTTTCTTCTAGGAGCTGCAAGGTGCCCCCTCCACCCCCCACCTCTAAAATTATTTAAGGGACTCTGAACATGACTGCTAAACACATTTCAGTACCTGAAAAGAGGAACAATTTCATGAATATCTTTCAGTTTCTTAATGTCTTCATCTCGAGCTGGAGCACAGAGAGTCCCCATCATCCCAATAACAAATTTGACCAACTTAGAAATGTCAAGGGCCCCATTCTCTGCCTCCTGTTTTATCAAATCCAGGTCAAGAACTTCTGTAATCTGGCTTCTCAGTCTAGTATGACCAGGCAACAAGAAAGACAGAAGACTCTGAAATTTAAAGTTTTTAACAGTGCATTAGTTCTACACATCAAAGACTATAAGGATCAAAACAGCTACTGAACCACCTCTTACAGAATTATAGAATCATAGGATGGTTTGGGTCAGGAGAGACCTTAAAGATCACCCAGTTCCAAACCCCTACCATGGGCAGGGTCACCTCCCACTAAACCATTTTGCTTAATGACCCATCCAACTTGGCCTTGAACACTACCAGGGATTCTTATCTAAACAATTAAATAATTTAATTTATCTTTTTATATTTTTTTTTAGCCAACCACTCACCAACTCCAAATGTTTCACCTCATGCTGAGTGATACTGAAGTTACTGAGGGGTAAATCCTCTGTGGCACAGATCATACTTCAAACTGTTATGCTTGGTTTTATCAGCCCAGTGTTGGAGCATCTCACTGATTCCATGACTAATACCAGTGCCATAAGATGAAGGAAGCCTGGAATTATGGAGCTGGTATTGCTTACCTGTTATTCACCTTACATGGTTTTGCATTTGGTTTTACATTCAGATTTCTCCCCTAGGATTATACAGTTTGTATATGTTCACAGTGATACAGTAATGAAAAAGAACAAGAGGATTTTTTTATGAAAAGCCAAACTCCAACCACTTCTGCCCATTCATTGCAGTGACTCAAATTCAGTCATTTCCTTTCATATCACATCATCTTACCTCCTTAATTTCTCCCAATAGCTTAATTGCATGATCATATGTCGGGGGGTCTTCCTTCAGCTGAGCTTCCAGACAATCCCAGAAAGCTTTATGCACAATATCTCTGACTTTCTTCTCTAAGCTGTGAATAAACATGTTAAAAACAATGGTACTGGTCTCTGCACCACCTCACAAAGATAACCTGCAGCTCCTGAAGCACAGCACATAATAATGTGAATATAATGTAATAATAACTATGTGATGATTAACAGAGATCTGTCATTTAAAGTTGCTCAGAAAAGCAAGAAAAGCTGGACACAGGATTTGGAATGGCTTATGTCCTAATACAGGGTTACACATGAGCAAAGGTGGCTGCAAATTAAAATCCTTCAAAGTATTTATCATGTGCTACATCTAGATAACTGGAAGAGAACAAAAATGGCAAAAAATATATTTTGCCTTCAAAAGACCAGTATTCATGTTCCTTTTAAAGGCCCCACTAAGTAGAATCAATTCCACTACATAAAATTCATTAGTAAACACAACAGAAATTAAGTAATTCCCTGACACAAAATCTTCTGTTTCATACATAAATATTGCACCTACTCTGAGGTAAGGGCCCAGATCAGTTTGTATAAAAAAATAAATGAATTCCTAATTCAAAATACAGCTCCTGTTCACACCAGGTGTCACTTCAGCACTGACCCCAATGGGGACCAAGTCCCTTCCATGAAATATGCACCCCCTTTCCCAAATCAAGCCAGGAGGCTCTCAGCCACACCTCACTGTGTGTGAGAGAGAGGAACAGAAGATGAAACTTCCTCTGTTCTCCCTTCTCAGCTGGGCATACAATTACTGTAGACTCACACAGAGAAGGAAAGACTTCAAACTTGAAAGGAGCAAGGACTAACCTAATAAAACACAGGAATCTCTTCCCAAAATATCCCTGAAGAAACAGACAGGAAAAGCTAAAATAATCAGTTTCATCTTACTCCCACAGGCAGTGAAAGTTTCAAATTTGCTATAAGCACTACCTACATCTGCAGCCAGGCTGGGGCACTGGGAAGGCTGCAGATGAACAAGGGGACACAACAGAAACCACAGCACTCTGGGATTTGCACCACACATGTCCAATTAATCCAAGAGGCTTTCACACACACATATCTGGGGAAGCAGAACTGTACAGTTCTTCTTATATTCTTTCCTAGCTCCTCCCAGGCACTGCCAGACAAGAACCAGCCAGAGCCTTTATCTGCTCTGCAGCTCTACAAACCCAATTTTGTTTAGGTACCTATTTGGTACCAACCTTACCTGTGTTCTGGCAATTCAGCTGGTTTTATCTGGAAGTCTCCATTCACCACAATTTCGTGTGCCAGTGCCATGTTGGTGACTGCCTTTGCTGTCTCCATGAGCTCTTCTATTGACACAGGCCGAGAGGGACTGGCTGCAACATCAATTACACTGTCAGACAGCTCTCAGCAAAAGCCTGCAGAAAGAGTCTTTTTGGACCCTTTCCACCTTATTGACAGTACACAGGGTCAAGTGACAGTATTAGCTGAAGATTGTTCTTTCCTTCCTTTCCTTTCCCATCTGGTAGACAACACAGGTTTGGAGTATTTCAAAAAACCAAGGTGTGGATCCCAGTTGATATTCTGGGTTCAGTATGTCAATTGCTTCTATCAAGCTCTTTTAAAAACCATCTCCAAACAAAGCCCCCCCAACCCAAAACTTCTTTAGGATGATTTAGTAACATCTTGGCATCTTTCTCCACACTGTAGGAAGAAATAATTACAAACAGCAGCATTTTCACCATACTGCTTCCACAAGTATTGTGTAGATATTGCCATTTCAGTTTTACATTTTTCAAGGAAGTGATTTCATCATTAAAGCAGTCAACAAACAATCACCATCACTGTTAAGCAGCAGCACACCAGTAGCTAATTATTCTCACTACTCCAGTGCAAATGGCACCCCTCCAAACTCTTTTTTCCCCCCCAGAGGCCATCACAGAAAAAACAGAGGACGGCAGCAGTGGCAGCACCAATGCTTAAAGAGCTCTTCCCCTGGCATGCATTTGGGACTGACTAGGATGAGCCAGCAGCCTCAAACTGGGCCCTGGGCTAGTGAAAAGGTTGGTGCCCTGATGGATCCATTACATTCTGTAGCTCATTCACTTCACCTACAGTTCAGGCACAGAAGCAACATACTAATCCCAAAGTGAAAGAAACCAAGCAGGGTTCTTCATAGGCTGGGCTCCCTGAGAAATGTTCTGGGCAAACTATTATGACCATCTCATTTGATAATCCATGTTGATTGGATTCAAGTAATGACATAGAAAAGGTCTTTCAAAAAGTAAGTGTCCACCACTTGTCTGCCATGCAGAGCCCTTCTGAGTTCATACAGTTGGGTTCCAATGTGCTTGTTTCTCATTAATATCTTGCTCTTTTCATGCAGCCCTCCTAAATCCTTACTTCCTTCTGCTTGGAGCTTAACCTTGCAGAGCGACTCTGGGAACACAGCGAGGATTGATATTCTGAGAAGAACCAGCAGACAGCAAAGTTCACAGTGCTCTTGTCCAAGTGCCAAATGACTTCACTCCAGCAGTGGGAGCACTAAGAGCTCAGACTCTTTCACTGGCCAAAGATTGCTCCTAAATCACATCACTTCATTCTCATACCTGCTCCCTTACATGAGGAAAAGGCCTTGAGACCAAACCACTTCTTTGTGGTACAGTGCAGTGCTAGACTGTGCCATGCTTTTTAGTTCCACGCGTTCAAAGCCTCTCTCCATACAAACATCCCATTTCCCACCAGGCAACCAGCAAGGCATAGGAACAGAAACTCCCTCAGAACATCTCCTCTGAGTAACACCACACTAAACACAGCCCTAAACCTCAAGTCATAACGAACACAATTAACAAATAGAAAGAATGCAACAAAATGTTACTGCTGAGCCACTCCCTACGGAAATTTAGAACCCTGAGCACTTAGGCTTCTTTGAATTGAATCCCTGGAGCCAGAAAACTTCCCCTTGGTTTTATCTACAGATTTGCCAGAAATATTGGCTCCCATATTGCATCCAGACCTTCATGTTAAAAGCAGAATGCCAAAGAAAAATATGCCTTAGGAAAAATAAGCAGTCCTGCTTACATGGAAGTAGTATTAGGATTAAATATACAACTTTCCATCTATCTTGTGAGGGGGCTGACAAGATTTGTCAATTTATATTTGTTAATAACATATTTTTCTGCCCTGCAGTAGGAACAAGGGCTGCAGCAATGCAGAAGGTTCAGCTGATAAGGCAAACAGCAGAGACAGTTTAGCTGGAACACACTGGGGTTCTGTTTATCCATTCCAAGAGCACAAACACACCAGGATATTTAGGATATATGTGGCTCAGAGCAATGTGGTCATTGTGTACAATTAAGAAAATGTACACACTGTGTGTACAATTAGGGAAATAAAAAGAAAACGGGGAGAGAAGTATTACAGTTTCAAGGCATATCATCAAGAGTCGTACTGCAATTAACTGCAAGACAAACTTGCACAAAATGCTATAAAACACTAGGATTGCCTCCAATAACAATTACAGAATTTACCATCTTTTTACTGTATTTCATAAAGCAGTTTTGCTTACACTTTGGTGTATCATCTCTGTGTGACCCTGGAGCACTCTGTCGTATTCTTTTTCGGACAGACTGATCCGAGTTGTCCAAGTTCTCGTCCTGATCATCCTCCAAACCACTCAACTTTTCTTCACTTGAATTTAGCTTGTCAGGATTCTGAGACATTTTCAGGTGGTTCTTTACAAAAAGAAAAAATATGAAAAAGGGAATGAATAAGCATTTTCTGACATGGTTGAGTGGGTAAACATCACCAGGAATCCTCTTGATTAAGAAAAAAAATAAATTAAGAATTAAAGAATAATTTAGAATAATTCTTATGAAGAGTTGTATGATGTCATCCCCATAATGGCAGGGGACCTGGACTCAGTGACTCACTTCCCATCTTCCACAAAATGGGATGCTTTCAACAGCTAACATTTATTTAATCTGCAGTCCTAGTCAGTTCTCAAAGATCTCAAACTGTTCCCTTGCCACAATGATAGAGATGAGAGAAAAAGATACTGTTTTCCTTCCTAGCACTGCTTTCAGGAGAAAGATGAAAAACACCTTCAGAACAATATTACAAACGTGTTTTACAAAAGATTATGAGACAACATTTCCTTACTACACAGCAATAAATCTTCCTGAACACAACATATTCCTGAATTATGGCCTGCCCCAACTGCTCACAACTTAAAAACTTCCCTCTGAGCCATCCAAAAGCAATAAGAAGCAGCAAAAGAACTAGAGATAAATTAATATAAAATTATATTCCCATGTTTTCATTATTCAAGAGTCCTGATTTATGCATAAAATATCACAGTTGTTTGGTTTTTTTTTTTTAAGACAGTAAAGAACAATTTGAATAATTAAAATCCTGCTTTATTAGACATTACATATTACAGGATATTTATATCACATTGCAGATACCTGCAGTGTACCCAAAGTTACACTGAAACAATTACCAGTAGAAAAGCAAGTCTCACTGTTCCTTATCTTCACTTATTTCATTCTCAGATTTCCCTATAAAGAATGTAATTTCTGCATCCACCATTGAAAACTATCATGCAGGAAGCTGCTGCTCAGGCTTTAATTTTACAGAAATCTCTCTGAAAGCATATGATGTCTCTAAATTAGAATAACTTAAGATGTTCTGTGAAGTGGGAGTCCAGAAGAGTGTGCTTTCAAAATAAAAAGAAGCTCCTGGAAAAACAAAAACTTCCTCTTTCCCCTAGTATCCCACCATCCCCACATTCACATTCTGAAATAAACCAAGTTCTCAGCAAGAGAGACACTCTCCAGGGGCACCTCACAGCTACTGAGAGAAAATACATCATCAATAACTGCACTGAAGAGGATGCAGCAGAAGCCAGCAACAGCGTAGAAATATAAAATGCATCACTGGGATTTATTTTTGTACAACAGCTATAATAACTAACCCTGCTCCACCAGTGCTGAAATTGATTGCACAGTGTGATTCCTCAGGACAGCTGGAAAGCTCAGGGCATGTAAGGAAGAGTTCTCTACAGCAATGACTCAGGATCATCATCTTGCTCGATGCATGAGAGACAACAGCATGCAACACTTGCCCACAGCACTGTGTCATTTCTATTTTAGAAGTGAAAACAGCATGAAAAGTTTGGGATAAATGACACAGGAGAGCACCCTCAGCACACAGGCATCAGCACAGGTACTGTTAGACTCACTCCAGCTCTAGATGAAGGATGAGGAGCTCTGTTAATAAAGGGGCTGTTCACAGAGAAGAGCATAGCAACCGTTGCAATGTAAAATATAAAATATAAAATAGGATGGTTAAAGAGAGAGAAACCTGTTGTTGAATTTGACTAGGATAAAAGCATTATCATACAGGCTTCCACATTCATTCCAGACTAGATGGTCTCTCTTCCACAAAGCATCCTCCCGAAGTCAAATCTGAGCCACAAAGATGATTCAACCAAGCCCCACTTAAGTCTTTAATGCACACAACACTTCCTAGTACCTTGCAATCTCTCAATGCACTTTATCCTCACTACCCTGAGAAAAGCAGAGAACTGTAATAAACCTTACTTACAGAGGGGAAACAGAGGTTTGAGTTCAGCTGCTTGAGGACTCACAGAAGATAAATGACAGGGACAAGATCATCAGTCTGATGATTCCTACCCCCAGCTTTGCCCAGCAGGCCATCATTCCTACCACACAGTCTACACCCTAAAGTGTTGCCTTCCATAAAATGGCAGCTCAAGAGCTACAGCCTCAAACCCAGCCCAAGTTTCATTTTCATTACCATTTGTTTTAGAAAAATCCTATTTCAGCTATGGAGGGGCAGGTATTAGAACTCCCGGGCCATTTTACCAAATGACTGTTCAGCAGATGAGGTAAACAGGCACACTTGTTGGCTTAGTTGTTTAGTTTGCAATAGTCTGCTCTTTTCTGATGGATTACTGCTATTATTGGTAGAACACATCTAGAACATATCCTCTTTCCACCGGGTAAATAAGCTTGACAATACCTCTTCCAGAAGGATGATCATCATCCCTCCTTTCACAAAAGCAATTCTGACTCTTAATAGAGCAAAGTCTACTTCTTGGCACTTTCCTTGCGTTTATTTTTAATGAAAAACAGAAATGCAAGAAAATTAAAATTTAAACACAACATTTTTCCACATCTTCCTTTCATTATAAGTCCTCGAATCACGTGAGGAGCACTGAACAAACTTCGCTGTGCTCACCTGGAGCACACAAAAGGTTGGAACAGCTGCTCCTGGATCCCACTGTATGAGACAGCAGCCGACAGCTCTCCTGACCTGCGGCCCCAGCACACCGGGCTGCCTTTCCTCCAGCGCCCAGCTCTTCCCTCTGCCCACCTGCCACAGCACAACCTGCTTTCCCTTGTAAGCCGCTAGCAGGCAAGCCGCAGCCTGTCCCCCGTCCCTCTTCCAAATTAAAAGGGGAATTCCGCTGTGAAATTCCGCTGTTTCCCCTCCGCTCCTGTCCTGCGTGAGGCCCTCCCAGGTCCATCGCTACCGGGAGCACACAGGGCACCGTCCCCATCCCCGCCGGCCCGGCAGCAGCGCCGCCGCTCCGGCCATGCTTTCCCTTCGCAAGGCCCGGGAGCTCCGGGCTTCATCAGTGGGCTAAGGGGAGAAACGGGGGGCTGTGGGTCGCTGGGCCGAACTGGAGGATGCGGTGCTGAGCCCGCCCGGCGGCCCCGGCGCAGCGCTGCCCGCCCGGGCCCGGAGCCGCCCGCTCGGCGCTGCTGGGCCCGGGCCCTGCCCGCCGCCCCCGGCCCCGCCGCCGCCGCCCTCCGCCCCGGGCCGCCCCCGGCCGGGCCGCCCCGCCTTACCGCCCTCGGAGCAGCCGCCGCGGCCGCCGGCTCGGACGGGCCCGGCCCCTCCTGCGGCCGCGGAGCGGGGCTGGGCCGGCGCCGCAGCCCCAGCGCAGGGCGGGCCGCGGCGGCTCCGGGGCGGGGCTCCCGCCCGGCCCGCGGCACCGCGGGGGAGGCACCGCAGGCCCGGCTCGGGGGGCACGGGCGGCTCTGAGACAACGCACCCCGGCTCTGGGGGCACGGACGGCTCTGGGGCAGCGCACTCGGCTCTGGGGGCACGGATGGCTCTGAGACAGCGCACCCCGGCTCTGGGGGCACGGACGGCTCTGGGGCAGCGCACTCGGCTCTGGGGCAGCGCACCCGGCCCGCTGCAGCCGAGCGAGGAGCAGGGCCCGACTCCAACCGGAGCCCCTCGCAGCCCGCGCTCGGACCTCGATGGACAGAGCGGGGTCTGCCCCACCACACAACGCTGATTCAGATTAACCCCTCCAGGAACCGGGGAGCGCAGTCCCGGATTGTCCTTGCCGTCCTTAGGCACCTTGTACAGGTCACGGTGTGACCGCCGGCTGCTCCAAGGGGGAGCGTGAGGTGCTCTGAGAGGAGCTGGATCGCCCTGAAGAGAGGAAGGAGCGGGCTGACCCTGCCTTGTGCCACCCTCGGCTGCCCCAGGCTGCTCCGCCGTGGCCCGGACACAAACTCGGCACCGGAGCCAGCCCAGTGTGGCACAGGGCAGGGGATCTGACCCGGGACTCTCACTGCAGCAGGCGAGAGCCACAGGCAGCAGCTCATTTCCAGGAGAGGAACCTCATCCCATTAACCGTGGTGGTACAGCAGGCGGGAGGTAGAAAGGGAAAATACTTCTGCTGAAGAGCAAACCAATCCAACACCACCACTAACATAGGATTTCCATCCCCACATTTTAAAGTATGAGCTAAGCTAATGTTTATGAGGAAGTGCATTTATAATAAAAAGCTTTCAGTTAAAACTAAGAACTATGACTACTATAAAGGCTTATAGTTCCCTGCTAGTTTTCAGGAACCAATTATTTTTAGAAGTCCTTTCTAATTAACTGGAAGAAGCTTTTTACATTTTTGTCTTCCATCCCCCATCAGGACACAGTAAAACATTGTCCTGCTGCACACCAAGTCCTTCAGCTCCATTTCAGACAAACACTCTGGCCCCTAGCAGCAGACACCAGAAATCATGAGAGTCTGACCGAGGATTGTGTTTTTTAAGAAAAGCTCACCACCTGTGACTGTAACACACTTGGTTGTCATAATTAAATTAGCTTCTGTTCCTACATAAAAGAACAGAGCTCAGTACTTTAAATGTGGTTTTTTTTGGTTTTTTTTCCCCAACAGCAGCTGTAATAAAGTTTTGGTGGTATCAGTGCAAAGGTAACTCCACAAGAGTCAAAATTAGATGTCTGATCATGTTACATACATATATATATCTATATATATGATTGTCTGTGTTGCAAATCTTGGTATTTCCACTGTAGACCACACATGGATAAGAAATGCCACAAGAAAAGCCAAAGGCCCTTCATTTGCTCCAGCACTTTTCTAATTACAGCTGATGCCATCAGTGAGTTAGAGACAGAGCAAAACACTGCAGGGATGAAGATAAGCAGCCACAATCAGTACAGCCTGTGGCAATCAAAGCCAGACTGACTTCACCACCCCAGGAGAGCCAATTCCTCAATATGGTGCCATTTGAGCTTAAAACAGCACAGTAATTTGTCACACACATAGGTTAGTTAGCTGGCAAGCCTGAAGAAAAGCTGTGCAATATCAAGCAGAACATGTTTTTCAGCTCTCTCCAGCACACAGCAAGTCAAAGATCAATGCTATGTGATAGTCACAAAATCCAAGGCAAATTAGGAAAAAAAAAAAATAAAAAATAAAAGCATAAAATTCAGTGCTGGGGCAAAAGGTGGCAGAGAGATTTCATTCATGGTGTCTTCCATCTCTGTGATTTTGATATAGAATAGAGGGAGTCAACAGACTTGGCTTTTGGGGAGGAAAAGTATTATTTTGTTTAAAAGGTCCAATAGAACTTAAGAATGAGAAAAGCTAAACTATAAATACACATTAAAGTCAGGTACTGTTGGTAATAATTGTATAAATTCCATCCATTTCCACAAAATAATTTTATTAGGCAGATACATGAATATAAAAGATTTACAAATATATTAGTGTTTTCACTGCTGGGGTATACAATGTAATCAATATTTAAAGTCTCACACACACATATTAGTAACTCTGTCTCCAAAATACTGCATAAAAATACTCGGATTACTACTATGAAACTGACCTAGCAGCCTTTTTCTCTCTTTGTCAGAGAGCTTTGAATCTTCATCAATAGCTTTCAATAGAGATAACAGCTCATCTTTTGTGGTTTTCTCTGTGTTGGATCGATACTCTCTTTCATCAAGTTTTTGGCAAAAGGTATAACCTGAAAGGAAACATGAGACATTCAGAGGATTATCACCACACTCCACCCGCCCTGGAGATTCTACAGAGCCACCCTCCTTTAGATCAAATCAGTCCCTGTTACAGCAAACTTTTTTTGCACCACATTTTGGGGCATGACAAGATTACACAGCTCAGAGGGAAGCGTTACCTGTTATCTTGCTGGGATCCTGGCCCTTCTGCAGAGCCAGCAGTTTATTGCTGACCATTTTGTGCAGTGCCCCTGGGATCTGGAACAGAAAGAGTGCAACAGCAGCTTAGAGAAGGCAGCTCTCCATGAGCATACCAGATAAACAAAACCTGGCCCTTTTCTAAAAGCTCTTACCTTTAACACATCTCTCTGGTTGTCCACAAGGAACAAGATCAGGAGGTCAGTTTTCCCTCTGGATAAGTTTTTGTTGTTGATAATAGCTTTAGAGAACGTTCTTTTCACAACCATCCTGTTGTCACTCTAAAGAATAAAGAGAAATAATGACAAGAAGAGGAGAGTTAGTCTCCCCCATTAAGAAGTTCTGAGACACTGCTTTTCCTGCAGTCACAAGTTTAAACTACAAAGGCATTTTCTGACCAGTGCCTGGGACCTCTGGATTTCAGAAAGTGTAAAACAGCTGTTAAGAATGCAGATTTACCTCCTTCTGTAGCTTGAGCTCAGAATGATGTGCTGCAACAGCCATGAAGTACAGCAGTCTCCTGAACTCCTCCCTGACTTGGCTGTCTAGGAGCTTCAAATAGAGCTGAACAGCTTCTAGAGATTGCTCCATCTTCCCATTCACTGGGGAGAGAGAAAGGTATTTATTGCCATATTCATTTAAATTAATGTCACCATGAAACACCTAGGTTAATCACTGAAGAGACACCCATCCACCCATCTCTCTAAACAGAACCAGCCAAACACAGCAATTCATTCTCACAAAAACTTCTCCCAGGCTGAGGAGAGCTGCTTGCAGACACTCTGACAACATCCCACACACAGGCCTTCAGCCTGGCATTAAAGCTCCCTTGTAATTAAGTTCAATTACAGTTGAAACATCTTAAAGGGGATGTGAAATACTGAAAAAGGAAGATGGTTCTATTAAAAAAATAATGAATGACTTCTGCTTGTGGTAATAAAAATATCACAAAAACTGAGGAATATGGGCTAATTTGATGAATTAATTGCAAATTACTTTGTAGACCTTTGCTAAGTTTTAATTTGCTTTACTATCCAGCCATTTTAGATTCGTGAATTGTTTAAATGAAGTAAGTTGTATTAATATCCTTTATTATGCAGAGAGGAAGAATGGGATATAAATGCAAAGTATTTCAGTTAACATGAAGCAAGAAGAGTAATCAAGGCAGAGAACTTATGAAAAATAAGGAGATCCAGGATAAAATGTTGAGAACTAAAACATCAAAAGCTTTCTAAAATGCTATCCAAACAAAATTTAAGAAACATTTCTATGTAAAAAAGTAAAAGTTGTCAATGGGGTACCAAGCACCCACACAGCTTTCAGTTTAGCTCTTACAGCCTAAATATTTACTATTAGGCTATATTTACATTTCATTTCCCATGGATATCTGACTTCCATGGATACCAGCTAGTACCAAATTATAGCACTGTGGTTCCACAGCCATTCTACACAGACCTGAACAAAGATTGCAGAACTGCATAAAGAACCAAAATGTCAAACAACAGCCCTTCTGACTGAAATTAGAAATTTAAAAAAAACCCCAAACATACATAAAACCCCCAAACAAACAAAGAAACAAAAACCAACAAAAAAACCCCACTTACAGAAGTCAGTTTTTCATCTTGGCTCCTGAGGTAAATACTCAGTTTCTTAGTACATGTCTCACATAAGCATTGGAACACAGCTCTGTTTTACTCACCTAATAGTTCTGCAATTCCTAAATGAATTTCAGATGCGTGGCTTAAGAGTGGCTCCTTTTTTTGGCTGTAGTATCTACCAATGTTTTCAAACAGCAGCAGTTTCCAGGTATCTGCTTTGTCTGGCTGAT